AGACTATAAAATAGATAGGCCTACATGTGTCATGTAGAAAGCAGAGAAAAAAACCCTGCCTTTGGTCTTCTTTGCACATTCTGAAAGAGTAAAGCATGGGCAAAATTCCAGCTTTTGAAAAAAAAGAACCTTTTTGGTTGCTTTTAGGATCACAGGCTTCTTAAAATCATACAATGTCTGTGCTTGTTTTAAAGGCACAAGTATTTTATTCCAGGTGTTTTTGGCTGCAAAACCAGCAGCTTGATTCTCATGATATATATTTTTTTTTCCCCTGCAGATGCAGACTTCATGCATACCATATGGTGGTAATTAACAGTTTCAGACTTACTTCTCAGTTTTCTTCTGCTTCGATTCTTGGTTGGTTTGGGACAAAATTTTAATGTCACAGAAGCAGAGTGTCTGAGTTTAATTGCAGACAGGAATAATGTGCATCTCTAGATGAGGAAGGAGAAGATGAGATCTATTTAGAGCACTAAGATATTTTGGAGATCTCACCGAGTACAACCTGTTTCTTTTCATTAAGCCTTTAAATGTTCCTCTGTAGAACTGAAATATGCCTCCCCTGGACCCTGGAAACAGAGGGAGACAATTTGAAAGATACAGCTGGAATGAAGAGTTTCTTTTAACAGCAGAATGTTTGCACTTTTTATGAGAGCAAGGGTAACATTGTGTAATCTTTAAAAAAGATATTGCTCAGTGAGGACAAGTCCATTGTCCAGTGACATGACTTTTCCTGTCAATCATGAAGGTGACAAGGGGGCTAGATTAAGTAAAGCTTGCCCAAGATTAACAAAGGAAGATTATTGACCTCATCCTGAAAGGGCAGAAGCCTGTTTTATCATTAAACCTTGGAAGAGGTATTTCCTCCATAGGTGGAAAGCTGTTTGGCAATATCCAGGCAACTTTCTTGTAAATGAGCAGGTCTTCCTGTGGATTCTAGCTTGGAACAGGAGCAGAAGACACGGAACGTGGGCTGCTGCATTTTGTGCTTGGGAGGGAGAGAAGGGGCTGGAGTGTTTGCTTCAGCAGGATCTGTGCAGTCCTTGTCTGCCTTTCTGAAGGGGGAAATCGAGAAGCAGCAGCCTCAGGTGTTTGGTGAGTACCATCCCAGCCCAGGGCTGCAGGAGATGTTGGGCCAGCACCCATCAGCAGAGCAATTGGCAGTGCAGGTGAGCAGCAGAGCCCTGTGCACCAAGCAGCTGCTGCCTGCATCAAACTGCCACCAGGATTAGCAGTGCCAGAGGCTGGAATGTAATCAAACTTGAGCAGGTGAAATGGTTACGCAGCTGGGAGAGGCTGTTCTCCAGGAAAAGTCTTTGTCCTCGGCTCTGCTGGCTCAGAGATGGGTCCTGTGTGTGGCTTGATGGACTTAATTGTACAATGTCAGTGGTAGGTACTGATGTTTCTTAATTCCACTTTACAGTGCTGTTGCTGTTCTCTCAGTGAAACTGGAGGAAGTCATGTCAGTTTGTCCTTTTAAAAAAGCAACCTGCTAAATCTCACTTGTTGGGGGGAACTTCTTCTCAGGGGATTGATTTTTGAACTGTTCCTGACATGTCTTTCTTGCCCATTAAGTATTTCTCTGAGTGTTTTCAGGGGGACAGTTAAACTTCTGTATGCAATATCAGAGGATTTTCTTCACTCAGAGTTTTTTGGCTTTATGCAGCCATTGACACGAGCAGGTTTTATGTGGTGGAAGTGTCCTTTATTTTTACGTGCTAGCAGTAAAAATCCAGACCCACTGAGAGCTTTTTCACATCTCCAAGTAATGGCATAAAAAAGAACAAAATAAGAGAGAGGGACATGAAGTGAAAGCAAGGTAACTGATGTACATTTCATTTTGTTGTTGTGAATGGCAGAGTAAAAGGGATCCTGGGCTGTGGGGCAGCAGATTCTGGAGCTGTGTGCTGGAGGACTCCTGCTGAAGTGTCCCCAGCAGCAGAAGCTGGGCTGAGCTCTCCTCCACAGCACACAGAGCAGAGGATTCCTCTTGGATTGCGAATCACGCAATGGATGTGTGATTGCCACAGATCTTTCTGAATGAATAATTCACTGGTGTACTGTAATTTAGCCCACTGAGATGTGATTGCAGCTGTTCCCCTACTGTATATGTGTTTTGATTGAGGCTTAAATCCCACAAGTGTATAAATAGCCATGTATGTGATATGCAAACACTGCGTACATGCACACCTAACCAAGAGCTCCAGAGAAACTTTTTGCAGGGGGGTGGTTTCTTGATTGTATATTTCAGTATCTAATTTATCTTTTAAAAAAATCCTGTAGAACACTTCCCTTTCCTTTCTCAGCCAGCTGTGAAGTCTGTGGTATTATAAATGCTTTTAGCCAGCGTTGTAGTCACAGAGTATCTCTGTTATTAATGAATTTATCATTCCAAGACCTTTCTAATATAAGAGATTACTTGTGCCTGCTTTACAGGTAGGAAACTGAAATGCAGGGAAAAAAAGTTTTATTTTCTATGGTTCCACAGTGCATTTGAAAGAACTAGGAATTGAGTATTCAGAGTCCTTCATGGAGCTTTGTTCACAGACTACTGCATTGTCCCCCTCACAATTCCTTTTCCCCAGAAAGCAAGGCAGAGTTTTAAAAATACTTGTGAGCTTCATTTGAAAACCAAGCAATTTGTGATTCTTAAAACCATATTATATTACTTTACACAGTCATTCAATCCTTGTCTTCTTGTGCTTCTTTTCTTATAACAACCTGGTTTTATATGAGAATATATTTGTAGATAGAAAACCCCACTTGCATGTACCTCAAATGTGCATGGAAACTGCAGTGGTGAGACCTGAGGTTTAGGCAGCTTTTACAAATACTTCATGTATTTGTAAAATACACGAAGTATTTGTAATACACAATTTGTGACACGCAGAAACAGGAGTGAAAGTCTTTGGGACCTGCTTTGGATTAAAACAAGAAACTATTTCTTGGTAAATGAAGAAACACATTGTTCTGTTCATGACTGGTGGCATAGGTAGATTTAAGAACTGTAACTAAGGATGATGATATTTGGCTTATCTGTCTCAAAGTGTGAATAAGAAAGCAGCTTTCAAGATATTTCCTCTTTTAGCCTCGTGTGTAGGAAAAAAAATTGCCACTTGGTGATAATGGTTTTGAATTTTAGATAAAGTCTGAAATGATGCTGAAGTTAACCATTTTTCTTGTTTAGATTGGTGTTAAAAAATCAGTTTACTCAAGTCTATAGGTGAAAAAAACTGCATTTGGCTTCAGCTAAGTTTTGAAGTCCGGTGTTAGCAAGTAGGAATTTTTCAAGTGCAGAACAAAAATGGAGGGAGTTGGAAAGGAAAAAAAAGGAGCATTTCTGTTGATTGGAGTTGGAAAATTTTTTAGGGCTTGGTCAAAAGCTCATTGACGTCAGTAGAAAGTCTCTCATTAACATCACTGGGTTTGGTTTTTGGGGCATATGATGGCCCAGATTGTAATCTCAGTTAAATCCGATTCTGTTAGGGAATTTATTCACTACTATAACACATTCAAGCTGCTCCAAACTGTTTGCATTAAAAGTTTTCTTAACCATAGGTAATCTTTTTGCCACAACAAAGTAGCTTGTGAAAACAAATCTATTTTCTTTATTGCGTATTTTCCATGTAGCTTTACTCAGATTTTATTTAAATAATTTGTAGCAACTTAGGTTCTTTTATAAAAGTGGGGTTTTTTTCTGAAATACTGTGATTTATTAGAGCAGACATCAAAATTACTCCAAAAAATATAAAATTATAACAAAAATCACTAAACACAGTGTGTGTACATATTTATAGGCATGTAGCACCTTCATACCCTCTGAAATGAAGTGCAGAAATGAAAACAATTAAGAAATTAAGACTTTTTCAGCCAAGTCTGTAACTCATATAACATGATGATCCAGTGGCTTATTTAAAAAACAATATTCATTAAACAGTTACAGTACAAAAACAGGATAGTGAAAAAAAAAACTGGGAAAGGACATAAACATAAAAACTACTCATGTTTGCAGCATTATATTTCTGCCAGTTTATTACTCTGCTGCTATCTTTGTTTGGAGATGTTGACCTGAGTTTTTCAGGTACAGATGGCATATATCAGCAGAGGGAAAAATGGGTTTGGGAGCTGTGTACAGAAGGGTAGGGTACCACAGACATGAAAGGAGGAGGAATTGTGCAGAGAACGTTGCTTTAAGCTGGAGGAGATGTGGAGGAGAAGGCTCCTGTGTTAATGAAGGCAGGTTTGAAGATGCTGGAGCCAGTTTTGCTTTCCATTAAAATTAATGAGTAGAGCTGTGTGGACTCTCACGTGAGGAGGGTTGTGTGCACGTTCCAGGAAGTCACTGAGTTTTGCCATTGTGCTGCCAGGGAAAGTCATTAGGACCACCTTTGTAAAAAATACTGTTTCTACCAGAAATGAAGGTTTAAGACAGAAGAGAATAGAATTAGGAAACAGAAAGCAATTGCTTCATCCTTTATAGATGGGAGAACTGCTTGAACTGTGAGTAAAAATATGGCATATGGTGAAGGACATTTAATGTTTAGTTGCTATTTTATTTCCTAAAACAACTAGCCAATCAAGGCATTAAGTACTTTATAAAGTCAGGAAATTAATGGTCCTTGTAAAAATTGAAGGTTTTTTTAGAAAGAGAGCTGTAAAAGAACAAACAATTACAGGTAATCAATACCATTGTTATTAGGAAACCTATGAGAACAACACTTCTTCTCAATTAGGGAAAAACTGTATTTTATGTTTCTCTCTTGCAAGCTGATCTTTGTTCGCTCCAGCCTGTAATCTTGGTTTATGCTTTATGGATAGGCTTTGTTCTGGCTGTTTTTGAAACATTGCTTGCCTTTTTTAAAGGTTTCAACAGAAGAACAAATAGCAATGAACTCAAAGAACAAAGGACCGTTCTTCCTTTCTTTCCTCCGATTTCCCCCCCCCCCATTTCTTCAAGAAAAGCAAGGAACGTTTCATCTTGTTTTTTTCTCCCCTTTCAGGAAGTTGATGGCAATAAAGTGATGTCTTCGTTTGCCCCGCACAACTCATCTACCTCACCCCTGAAGGCAGAAGAAGGTGGGCGCCAGGGCGGGGAGTCCCTGTCCAGCGCGGCGCTGGGCACCCCCGAGCGCCGCAAGGGCAGCCTGGCAGATGTCGTGGACACCCTCAAGCAAAGGAAAATGGAAGAGCTCATCAAAAACGAGCCAGAAGGTAAGGCCTGGGAAGCTGGCCAAAATTTCCTGTGTTCTTTTCTTTCCTCCAGATCCTTTGGATTGCATATAGTTTTTAATCGTGCCGTTTTTCTGCGCTGCTTGCTTTTCCGTGCCAGCAGAATTAAAGATCTTACAGTTCTTTTCTGCAGTAGAGGTAAATTTTATCAGTGTCCCATCACAGCTAATGTTTTTAGCTTTTCCCAAAAAGAGAGTTTAGTGGTCTTTTTGTTAGAGTGGCAACCTCCTCAGTATGCCTGCAGTAAGCCAATTTTAATCACCTGGGAGCTTTTACACCACTACTCCCCTCTCCCCATGTCTAGAGCTAAAAGAAGTATTATTTATCATCAATGTCAGTGGTTTTCTGAAATGATCTAGTGTGCAGGTCATTGTTTGAAAGGTAAGAAGGTAAACTGGTAGTTAGTGAAAGCTTTTGTGTGGGACACATCGTGGTCTGGTTTATGTGTAGTGCAGGTACTGTACAGGCAGGGAATGCAGGTGTTCTCTGCATTATATGTGGGCAAAAACATCATGCAGTGTCCTTTCTGGAGAATGGGTTTTTTGAGGGTCTTTTTGAGACCCTCTCTCCAGCTGGTGGTCATAGGACTTGTGTTCTGTGGGACTCGTGCTCTGGGACTAAGACCAGAGATGAGGATTTTTATTTTTTGCCTGTTTGAGGCAGAGCCCCAACCCTGACTGGAAGATGAAGCTCTCATTGTGCTCTCTTTAGGTATCTGTATGTTTATTTACAGCTGCATTTTTGGGGCACTGTGAGCCAGCTGTGAGAGCATACTGAGCCTTGTTTCCTAGGGTGCAGTGAGGAGTGTCTATTTTCATTTACACTCACCTATCCTGTAACAGAAATCTACTCCAAATGTTCAATAGCAGGGCTCTCAGGGCCCACCTCAGTGCTGAAGCATGAAGTGACAGCACCTACAAGAAAATTTCAGGACAATTTCCTGCATACTGGGATGGAAGCATGGACACAAACATGCTGGCACATACAGGAGCATGGCAGGGTTGTAAATGAGGTTGTAAATGCTGCTCTTGACTAGAGCATGCAGCAAGGGTCTGCTGGGAAACAAATTCTTTGTCTGAGCATTTTTTTAATATTACTTACAACATTTCTTTTGCATTTAGGTTGGTGTAATGGTCAGTGCCATAGTGTGCCTTTGGATGGAAGATTGCAGGGGGAATGGGTGGGAAGGAGAACAGGCTTTTTATCTGAGAGAGGAGAGAACAAGGAGCTCTGGGCAGTGCATAAATACTCTGCTGAGTATGAGGTTGTACAAGCTGCACAGACTCCATTAAGGAAAGGCCACAGATAGACATGAGAATGGTTACAGAGCTTGTGCATTATCTCAGCTCTACTAAAATGAAAATATACAGTACAAACAAAAGATCTACAGCTTTGTGAAGAGATTGGGAGAGAGAGGAGGGGGAGCAACTGAATGTTGGGCTTTGCAAATGCGTGCAACAAAAAATCTTTTCTTCCCTCTAGCCATTGTTCTATTGTCTTTCAAAGGCCATTAAATTGAACAGCAGGTTGTGATGAAAATTTCATTAAGCCCTAGTTAAATCATTATGAGGGTGCCATATTCATGTCTCTGCTTACTCCCCATCCAGGAAAAAATGAATAGGAAAGAGTTGAGCTTTTTTTCCCTTTCTCCTTAAAAGAGAACTAACAAAAGTTCAGAAGTTAGAAGAGAATGGGAAATGGGACATGAAACAAAAGGAGGCCAGAGAGGTGAGGTGGCTAGGAAGAAAATTAGACTTGCATAAGAGCATTGAAAGGTGGTGAGGGACAAATACATCATTTTGACAAGCCTCCCTCCCCCTTCCCTTCAGCCAACATGGTTGTTTTTAGAGTGGCTAATTAAAAAATATATATTTCTGGGTGCAGATGGCTAGACTGTTCTTAGAGGTCCTCTGCAAATATGAGTCTTTTTCCCTAAATGAGATATATTCTGATACAACACAGTGTCTTCTCTGTTTGAACCCCAGCAGAAAATTATTGTCATGTCTTCTTCATGTAGTGCTAAAGTAAAATTGTCAGTCATCACTGGTTGCTAGTCAGGTAATTAGCATATTAATGAATTTCCCTGTGAATGAGGTGTTACAAGTGGGAATCTTTGATAGTACATGTAGGTAAAAACGCAGCAATTTGTGATAAATGCATATTTCACTAATGATTTTTAGTCTTGCTAGTTTGTAAAGCTTTGTGGGATGAAGATCAAGAATCTTGGTTAAGCTTTGCTGCATTATGTCAACAAGAATAATATAATACTTTATTTCCCTTTGGGAAGAAAGGGAAACATTTGCACCAGTAGTTGAGGTTTAATTAAATCAATTTCCTGTGAATCTTTCAAAGACCAGATACGAGCCAGATTCCCATTTCTCTATGTACTCAAAAGTTTATATATTATTTAACTTGTACAATGGGCTGTGTTTGCTCTCTTTTTATTGTTTGAAATAGTCCTCTGAATTGCTGTGGGAAACATGCTTTTCAAGCATTCTCTCAAATGGCCTGTTTTCCTCAAAATCAGAAAAAAGGGAAGGGCTGCATAGACAACTTTAGGTCTCAATTCAAACCTTGTATCAGTCAGGGAAAGGGCTTCTCTTTTCTGAAATGGGCTTTAAGGACAAGGGAGATATTCCAAATTATTGATTTTTTTGGTTTGATTCTTTCTAGGAAACTTCACTGATACAAGGGAAACCGTTTTCTACAATTGTTTGTTAGAAAATAAAAGTGAAAATTAGGAAGTTTTGTTGATAAAGGACAAGAATTTTTATATTTTAAACATAGTGCTCAGAGTGCAGCAATGCACATATGTAAACACTTCCCTGCACTCACACAGGAGCTGATGAGGGTAGCATCACTCTCCACATAAATGGGTTTCACGTAGATTTGTTGTGTATGTACCCTTGGTTAATGTGCCCTGCAGGAGCCCACGCTGCCTGCTCTTCCAAAAGTACAGCACTGCCTTTTCCTCCTTGGGTGTGAGCTGGGGGGGATTAGGGGGTGTTTTTATAGGGGTTTATACTTAGCTCCAAAGCTCCTTGCTCCTTTTCTTCTCCCCTTAATTTTGCCATTTTCCTGCTGCTGGATGGAAGTGTGTGATTGACAATGAGTCATGCTGACACAGAGGCATAAGTGTTCCAGTGGATCTGAAACTCCCTGAATTTTACTCATTACTAATACAGTGCTCACTTTTTTTCTCTCAAATTCTGTGGAAAATCCTTACATGCAGCTTTAGCATGAGGCCCCCAAAGGCATAAACCTATTACTGAAGTCACACAATGTTATCTTACATGAAACATTCTGTCCTTTCTAACTTGGGCTTCAGAAGAGGAGTCAGTCCCCTTTTATTCCTGGTGCACAATAATGAAGATAATGGAGTGGGTTTGGAGAAGCCTTATACACTGTGACAGACCCCCAGCCCTTGCCCCGAGGGTCGTCTGCCGACCATGGGATTCCTTTTGCAGCTAAAATCATTAGGAGAATGAGATACAGGCATGTTTTTCTTCTGTTTTCTTCAGGCATCAGAGGATGGCAGAGGCTCTCTGTCTGTCTGTTCTCCTCATTTGTAGAAATGAAATGGAAATCTCTTTGAAGTCACTGAGCTTGACACAAGTTTGTGAAAGAAAAGACCAAAGCAACCACTTAGCTTTTCCTTGCACTATTAATGTGATTGGATTGCTGCATTTTAATTTATGGCCTGTGCTTGTGGAAAATTAAATCTCTGAAATCTCTGTAGCCTTTCCCCTAAACGTATGGCTTGGCTTCTGGAAAGGAAAGAGGCAAACAAGTAAATTCCTCCCTATTTTTAGAATAAGCTGGAGAATTCTTTGGCTCTTTACATCTCCTAACTTTTCATTAAGAATCAATCCTCTTTTTCCATGTTGGCAGTTTTAACAGGTTATGATCTGTTCATCTTTAAAACCTTCATAGTGGGGCTTCTGAGGCCAGACCTGTGTTGTTGTATGGGATTTGTAGGAATTCTGTATAAAGAAATATCATATGAACACCTACCTGATGAGCCTGTGTGGGTGCAGTCATTCATCTGTACAGCTCTTTCTTCCTTGGTCAGGACCTCTGAAACTCAATTCAGTTGGGCTGTTTAAGTGAATACTTTGAATTTTCCATAAAGACACATACACAGATATACACGTGTACATACATGCACGCACACAATATATATAATGTATTATATGTATTTAGACATAAATATGTATGGACACAAACACAAAAATTATTCATTTATTGTGTTTTATATTTTGCCTGCTCCAAAATTTTGATCTTACAGTCCTTAGGTCTTCAGAGGGGGAGCAATAATGTCAGCTGTTTGGTAAGAAGGGAATGTGTGTGTTTGCAGAGCTTTAGCAGGCAATGTGAGTACCAGAGCCTCATGTATTGTAGTAGGCAGCAGTACTGTAAGTAATTACCTGTTGTGAAAAAAGGGATGAGAAGAGCCTCTTGGGCATGATTTTTGTCTTCTGAACGTCCCCCAAAGGCTGTTTGTATTTGATGTTTAAGTTTACATTATAAATCACAGCACCTGTTAATGTGGTAATTTAAATGACTGTTGTTTAAGCAGTTCTGTAATCTGTAAAAGTCAGCCATGCTGAATTCAGGCTCTCTAGCTGGGGTATCTCCTAACATTATCAAACTTTTAATGAACAAATCTTGTAAAAAAATCAAGATGTCTCCCTCTTTTTAAGCCACAGATTCCAAAGCAGGCCATTCATGGGCACAAGAAGGGTGGCCTTTGAAATGCAGACTCCTGTTTTTAAATCACATCTGATGAGAAGGGATGGAAATAAAGTGCACAGATTCCGGAAAGGCCCAAGGATACTGTAATTGGTTGAGGTTTAAAGTTCTTTTCTTTGGTTCCTCGGTGCCCCTTTGACAGAGTGTGTGTTGGAGAGGCTTTGTAATGCTTTTCCACTGAAGGACAAACAAGGGTACTTTGCAGTTGAGCACTTTCAAGTTTTGCTCGT